TTAATAGTATCATGTTAGTTGCTTATTTAATAAAATAATAATAAAATAAATAATTTTAAAAGATATAATTGATTGTCAGTGTAAAAAATTTTTATGCGTGTACAGATGATTAACTTAAAGGAAAATGTGGCATCCTATTACAATTTCCATGTATGATGTATGGTCAATGCGTCAATTAATATTTAAATGAAGTATAAATAAATTGCCAGAGTCCTTTAACTTATAATTTCTCTTATTGAAAGGGTTTTAAAGTTAGTAATTACATTCCATAAATTTAAGTCAAGTCTTCATGTTTCACCACAGTTTAATGACAATTTTTTTTATATATATAATCACGATATTTGGATTTTTTATTTATTTATATAACTATGATATTTAAATGAAGTAGCCAAAGTTAAAATCAATAATTAATCTTGAATAGCAATCATAAATATACATAGGTGTTTTTAGGAATCAGTTGAATTCAACTCAAGTGAAGTTAAAAAAAATACATTCACAAGTGCATTACATATATATTTGTCACAAGTGCAACAATTAGGTTGACTATGGTCAACGGTGTTCCTTTTGCATGTGCACTCTGCAGATTCAGCCATGGTCAACACAATCTTTTTTTATAATATATTCAAGTTTTAAGTGACTACTACGGTGTCAATACAATGGATTCAGTGCTTGATACATATAAAATCATTATATTTTTTTATTTTCTTCATTATTATATTACTTACTTTATTCCATGTATTTTTAATTAAACACACGTATGTGACAGCTTTACTTTTCCATGCTATGTAATGTGTGAAAATAGGAATGGACTTTGTACATGTTATTGAATTTTCTAGCAGATCATTAATTTTATTTCACCTACTTCAACTTCAACTTCTTATCATAATGTTTATTTGCGTAGGTTTTGACCTTATAGACTGAACCCATGAACTCGTCGGTGAATCTTTGGGTTGTCACAGTTTCTATAATTTAATTCCGATTTTTCCATATTTTTTTTAGTAGAAACTAATTACAGGTATTATATTAAAATGTGTAAAATAGTGAAAAAATTAACTTAATTTAATTGCTAAAACGAACAATAAATGTATAAAATAATAAAGCAGTAAAGGTTTGGTTACATTGTTTTTCTCTTTCTAATAAAGCAACAATCATTTTTTGCTCAATAATAAAAGTAAATATTTGGCGTTTGGGATTTGGGCTTGAAGCTAGCTGCATGCAAAATTTAGGTTCATGATATATACACCTCCTTTTTTCTATAAGTACACCTCTTTTTAAAAAAATAATTAAAATTTTAAAATATTTTTAAATTTTTGTTTTAAATTTTTTTATTTTACATTTACAACATTTAATTTAGTATTTTTTTTCACACATCTTTCCTCCTTATTTCAATTTTTACATGCACCTCCTTATTTTTTCTTCACCCCACCTATATTGGTAACATGTGAAAATTGAAAGAGAAAAAAAAAGTGTGTAAATAAAAAGAAGAAAGAAGCAAATTGAAAGTTAAAAGTATAAAATTAATTTTTTTTAAAAAAAATTATAATTTTTTATAATTTTTTTTGAAAAGGAGGTGTACTTATAAAAAAAAGGAGGTGTCTATATCATGAGCCCAAAATTTATAGTCCTTCCCTTCTTCCACTTCTATGGGCTTTTCATTATTTGGTCTTCAACATGTTTAATGAGGCTAGGCCCATATAGAAAGTAGTTGAGGAAATCCAAACCCAAACTCCATTTACTATAGACCCAAATTACAAAACCTTCTATGCATAAATGGGAAAGAAAAAGAAATATTCTTATTTTCTGAATAACGTTTGCATTTCGCATTGTTATTTACTCATTTATTCAGTAAAAAAAAAAAAAAAGTGTCGTTGACGCAAATCCAAAATGATGATGCATCTTAGCCCAAATATTAAATTAAGCTAAAATCAAATATCAAAATTAGAAACAAAAGTCTTATTATACATTCATAAAAAATAAATCACACCTTATTCTAAATGTAAATGTTATGCATCACAAAATAATTAAAAACATTTAATCGCATATCATCATTTATTATAAATTATTGACATATATAATAAATAAATAAATAAAAGATCATGATTATATATATATATATATATATATATATATTAAGTATCTAATAGGTAAATTAATAAACAAATGTGATTGTATTAAAATATAACAAGACTAATACATTCATAATCATTTTTTATTTTTCTATATTAATATTATGTCAAGGCCTATGAGATTTCTTGAGACATAAGACCTTGCTTTACAAACTCATCTACA